GGAAGCCACCTCCTAGCTTTGACTAAGCCAATTCAGGCTCTCACACGTGTTTGGCCATTATACAAGTGTCCTCTACTTGTTGGTGCACCACAAATCTTAACATTAATGTGAAATTAAATGATGGGTATAATTAACTTGTGTGTCATGTTTGTCTCACCGAAACTTCAAGATTTTTTTCCTTTTTACCCCTTGTATCGAGGCTTGGTTTCACGGGGTGCCTTTCTTCTTAGCACGGAAAGGGATATCGTACGGCAGTAGTCTGCTCAACTAGATTACATTCCGCCTTTTCTCGATCGCGTCGGAACGAAAGAAAATTTAATTACAATTTTGTAGAAAACTCACAACAGAGAATTTGAATGCATTGAAAGTAAATTCAATATTGATTGATGAAAACTAAACATCACAATTGACGAAAGTAGAAAATTACAATTGTTGGTGCAGGGAGCGGACACCAATGAGCATGAAAGATTTTTGAATGACTAATACCCCCTATAATAGCATTCTGAACAAAAACCTAAGTGACAGGAGTAGACGTTTAAAAGACGAGGAATCATACTAAATGTTTACTAATATTAGAGCTATTTTCCAATTGAAATAACTATTATAATGAAAAGAAAATTACAACTCAAACTTGAACTAATATTTACAATATGCGGTCGAAGTTGGGTAAACTGCGGCTGCGATTGTGTCAAGGGGCTAAGTAAAGCTGCGGTTCTTGACATTCTCCCCCATTTGTTTTGACGACGTCCTTGGTGCCATAAATGTATTATATGCTTCAATTAATGGTTTGAAAGCTCCAAGGTCCTTTTCTCTTTCTCAAGTATTCTCCTCGCTGCTGCATCCAATCCATTTGACCAAGTACTCTTGATAATCTTTTCTAGAAGCTCGAGTGATTCGATTGTCAAGAATAACTTCAGCAACCTTCTTTTCAGCTTTCTTCAGTTCAAACACAGGTCGCTTCGACTCATTTCTAGACGCGTCCTCCTTATCTGCAAAGTATGGCTTCAGCACACTAACATGAAGGACCTTGTGGATTTTACACCATGAAGGGAGTTCAACTCTGTATGCAACTCTTCCAATCCTCTTCAAGATGGGTAATGGTCCAATATATTTTGGCGCTAATCTTGAGTCCTTCCCTCTTGTCAATTTGTACACATTTCTGTTGGGAAGCTTAATCATTACCACATCTCCAACATTGAATTCAAGGAAACAACGCTTTAAATCTGTAGACTTTTTGTACCCTTTTTGAGTTTTCTCCAAGATAACTCCGAGCAATTTCAATATTTCATTTCCATTCCTGAGAAAAGTTCTTTGTTTGAGGAGATTTGGTACTTTGTTCGATATCCACTGTATGAGGTAGTAGCAGTTGTTGGCCACTAACAATCTCAAAAGGACTCTTATTGGTGGAAGAGCTCTTTTGGTATTGAAGCAAATATGAGTCGCATCCAAAAGTTTCACCCAATTTTTTCTGCGAAGTAGAGATAAAGTGTCGAAGATATTCTTCTAGCATGGAATTAAAGCACTTCGTCTATCCATCAGATTGTGGGTGAAAACTAAAACTCATGCTCAAAGTTGAACCAAGAAGTTTCAACAACTCAGTCCAAAATATGCCAGTAAAACGAGGATGTCGATCACTTACGATGTCCTTAGGCAGTCCATAGTATTTGACAATATGTTTGAAGAAGACTTAAGCTATCTCTTCTGCGGATACATACTTAGGCGCTGCAATGAAAGCCGCGTATTTTAATAGACGATCCACCACGACGATGATAGTGCCAAAATCCTCAACTTTTGGCAACCCAATAATGTAGTTCATCAATACACTTTCGAATGGCCGGGTTGGGACGGAAAGGGGCTCCAGCAAGCCCCTTTTTTCTGATGATCTGCCTTATCTTGCTGATAAGTAAGACAGGTTTTTACATAGGTTGCAATTTCATCCCGCATTGACCAGTAGTATGCACGTTGCAGTAGTGCACAAGTGTGTTCCTCTCTGGGATGCGCTGCCCAAATGTGTCGTAGCATTCTGTAATTAGTGATTTCCTCAAATCTCCGCCCTTAGGAACATATAGGCGGTCTCCCTTTGTCTTCACTAGTTTCCCATCGAGTCAGAACTATCGAGTTTTACCGTGCTTGATGAGGTCGACCAAATACTGAGTAACCGGGTCCTTCTCCATAAGTGCCCGAATTTGGTCTCTTGTGTTCGTGGTGACAACGCTCCCTGAAAGAGCAGTCACGGAGCAAATGGCAGCCAAATCGGCCCGTCGACTAAGAGCATCAGCAACATGATTACTAGATCCGGGACGATACTCTAACATAAAATTGAACTCTGAAAGAAATTCTTGCCAACGAGCCTGCTTGCTCGATAGCTTTGGTTGGAACATGAAGTGACTAACCGCAGTGTTATCTGTCTTCACAATAAATGGAGACCCAAGCAAATTGTGACGTCATCATCTGAGAAAATGGACTACTGCCAACAATTCCTTTTCATGCATCGAGTAACGACATTTTGTTTGGTTTAACTTCTGGCTCTCATATGCTACCGAATATCCTTCTTGCATAAGGACTCCACCAAGTGCAAAATCTGAAGTATCTGTATGAATTTCAAATGATTTAGTCATATCCGGTAAAGCTAAAAC